TCAGGAGGCTGAGGTGGTAGGATTGCTTGAGCCTGGGAGGTTGAAGCTGCAGTGAACATGATCCTGTCATTGCACTCCAGCCTGGGTAACAGAGTCAGACCCTATCTTAAAAAAAAAAAAAAAAAAAAGCTAATTGTGATGGTGTGAGCCCATTATTCAGAGGCTGAGGTGAGACAATCCCTTGAGCCCAGGAGTTCAAGTTCAAGGTTATGGTAAGCTATGATTGTGCCACTGCACTCTAGCCTGGGCAACAGGGTGAGACCTCATCTCTGAAAAAAATTTAAAAAAATAAGTTAACTTTGGTGCATACACACACATATAACTTCACCTTCATAGCTTTCATGCAAAATAAGTATTATGTCCATTTTACACATGAGTTTAAGCCCACTACCAGACATTACTGGAATCTAGGTATAAACCCAGATCCTTCTGGTTAAGTTAGTGTAGCGTCCTGAGAGTTTAAACATGTACCTGTGGACATCTCCTTTTTCATAGTCAGAGGGAAAAATAATACCTTATTACTTCCTGTGTATGTATAAAGCATTCCATTGACAAACCATTTAAGGGGATGGTTTTGTCAGTGATTGAAGGCACCCCTAGACATCTCTTTACCACTGGCTGATTCACCTTAACTGGGATACTTTTTTGTCTCAAAACTGTTTTCTTAATTTTAAATCCGTTTTTTTTTTTTTGTTGTTAACCTACTGCCTACATCTCAGAGTTGTTTTGAAAATACTGCAACTTCTGGGACATAGTTAGGGCTCCATAAATGTTAGCAGTCTTTGAAAGAAAACATTCTGAGGCAATATAGGTACACCATCCTGCCCAGTGATTCATCTTTTAGTCTCTGACATAGTGTCTAACAGTAATGTCCATTAGTAACAAGATTTTCCAGTTCTCTCCAGTGTCATAACAAGTCACTCTCTTCCAAAATACTATGCACAGAATACAGGAAGAAATGAAATAGCAAAGAATACAGGAAGAAATGAAAATTATGTGACGCAGAAGGTTTCTAAGAAACCTAATGTAGTGAGTGCCACCAGTAGGTGGCTTCTGGTAATAACAAAAAAAACTGTTAAAGCCTCACATGTTAAAAGCTAAAAATGCTTACCCTCTCCCTGTGGTCCCCACTCCACCCCTTTAAATTGTGCCCTGTGGTTTAACTAAAGATTACAAGCTGCTCCCTGCCTAGTATGTGTCAGGAATAGCACAATCCAACCTTTACACTGAGAAGGCAAAGTTGATAAGTTTGTTCTAGTTCATCCCCTGGAAGCTCCAACTGCACTTTTTTTTTTTTTCTGAGACAGAGTTTCGCTCTTGTTACCCAGGCTGGAGTGCAATGGCACGATCTCAGCTCACCACAACCTCCGTCTCCTGCGTTCAGGCAATTCTCCTGCCTCAGCCTCCTGATTAACTGGGATTACAGGCATGTGCCACCATGCCCAGCTAATTTTTTGTATTTTTAGTAGAGATGGGGTTTCACCATGTTGACCAGGATGGTCTCAATCTCTTGACCTTGTGATCCACCCACCTTGGCCTCCCAAAGTGCTGGGACTACCGGTGTGAGCCACCGCACCCAGCCCTGCACTTTCTGAAAAACAGAAATAATCACCCTTCTACTCAGCGATGCACCAAGTCCATGAACATGATAGGTAACCCCCACAACATTCCCGAAAGGTAGCCATTCCTAGCACTGTTTGATTGTTGGAACAACATAAAACTTTCTTCTTGGAAACTATCAGAGAAAAAAAACTAGAGGGATTATATCCGTAGATAACATTAATACAATAGCCTCTGCATCTTCCATTAAAAAGACGAGTAAAATAGTTCAGCCTCACTGGTGGGTTTTTATTCACCAGCTGTTCCTGTATAGATTCTGAGAGGTTGTGAATCTGGTCCTACGTAGAAATAAGGCCGAAGAGGTCCAGTAAAAGTGTCAGAGAAAGTACAGATGTGAGATTTCTCAGCCATGTTATAGAATGAGATCTCACCCAGCTCATAGTCCACGAAAATGCCAATGGTCCTAGCTTTCACTTCTAACAAGAGAGGGGTTGGAAAAGCCCCTGGTGCGTGATAGCCATCATCCTGCAGCTCAATTCTCCAACATCCCTGCTGGGCTGATGAGGGTCTCCTCGCCTTTGTGGGAAGAGAATCTTTGCAAATGCCAATAGCCCATTCCGACTTATCTCCCACTTCAATCTCCCAGAAATGCCTGCCAGAATGAAAACATGGAAAACCCAGAACAACTGGCTTGACTGTAAATCTTTTTGGGAAACCAGGAACCTTTTGTTTTCTCTTTGTAAATCTCACACATTTTTTATCTTCAGATACAATCAGGTTAGGGTGTGCTGTTTCAGAGTCTAGAATTACATCTACTTTAAATTTCTTTATAATTCTCCGCAGAGCAGAATATTGGGGAGGAAAACTGCAGCCATCTCTCTTCAAATGAATTGAAAAGATTGACGGGCTACTCTCATTTTCAGACTCATAGAAAAGTTTAATTTGTGACAGCAGTTCCGGTTCAGACAGCTCACTGAGCTCTACTACCTTATTTAATTGGCTTTTGAGTGTGGCAGTGTAGTTTGAAAATGCTGTTATGTTTGCACTGAGTTTCTGCTGATTGTCCTTCTCTTCTTCAGCTAGTCTGGAGAGAGCTGCCTGTTGCTCACGGTCTAAAAACTGGGTGAGGTGCTCAAATTCAGAGGACAGTTCCTGCCTTTGGCTTTCTACCTTCTCTCTCAGTTCTAAGAGTTTTTTGCTTTGAGTGCTTATTAATTTTTGAAGGTCTGCCAATTGCTTTTTCAGGGGCTGGATGTAACTGCGAAGCCTTTCCCTGTGATGACAGGCAGCCTCCTCTATGGGCCTCACGTGGTGGCCCTGGTGGTTAGAGAGCTGAGTGCACAGGGGACACAGCACTACCAGTTCCTCCTCGCAGAAAACGCTCAGGGGCTGGTTGTGCTTCTCGCACAAGGTCCTCTGTTCCCGCCTCTTTTTCTTGCTCTTAGCACTCTCGAGTATCTCGGCAATTTCAATCATCCTTCCCATCTGGGTGTTGCTCCTGAAGTGCCTGTCTTGACATTGGTGACGACAGACAGGGCAAGGAAACAGTTCCTGTAGATCCGTCCAGGACTGTTGGATGCAGGGCCGACAGAAGTTGTGCCCACAATCGATGGTGACGGGGTCTCTCAGGTAATCCAGACAGATGGAGCATTTGGATTCTGCTTTGAGTTTGGTCACACGTGCTGCCCTTGCCATTGGTCTGTCAATGAAGGTCTTGACCAAGGTAGTTGAGCTCTGTGGGTTTCTCCAGTGAGAAGCAGATATGCTCTTAGATCTCACTGTCCTTCCTTAGACAGTCACTGGAGACAGACCTCACTACAGTCCCACTGATTTCTCACATTGGTGGTAGCCCTTGAAGTCCTTTGAATCATCAGACCCTTTAATTCCAGCTGCCAAAAGGAGTCCCACACACAGCCTGCTGGCAGTCACAGCTCAGCCAGAACAATTACTCTTCCAGCCTTTGGCTGCACAGAGAAAATGAAGCCAAACAAGCAGTTCTGTTAGGAAAACATCTGATACTTCAAATCATTAGTTGCTGTGGGAGAGAAGATATTTCTTTCTTAAAAACAAAACAAAGTGAAACAAACCTGAATTTATTTCAGGTGGTCCTAACTTCCACCACATTCTAGCCAAACACAAATTATCCTCCCCAGCCCCAGTGCCTTTATTACTGTGCCCTAGCTACTCCACATACTTGGTACCACAATCCCCACATCCCATCTACTTAGCAGTCATCCTAACTGGGGTTGTGGGAACAGCCTAGGCCCTGAGGCATGGAGACCACCCACATTAGAAACGTCTTCGGTTACCTATCTCTGTAACTTGGAGAAATCTGCTTTACATCCCAAATTCTGGGAATCAGGTAAATAATGACAATCTCCCTTTAAACTTTTGACTTGATAAGGTATTTCTAGGCCGGGTGTGGTGGCTCACGCCTGTAATCCAAACACTTTGGAGGCCAAGGCGGGCGGATCACCTGAGGTCAGGAGTTTAAGACCAGTCTGACCAACATGGTGAAACCCAGTCTTAAAAAAAAAACAAAAAACGTATTTTTTTCTAGCCTGGGCAACGTAGAGTGAGCCTGTCTCTCCAAAAAAAAAAGGAATAATAAGAAGAAAAACAATAACAAAATTTAAAAAAACAGCTGAGTGTGATGGTGTGCACCTGTAGTCCCAGCTACTTGGGATTCTGAGGCAGGATTGCTTGAGCCCATGGAGGTCAAGGCTCCCGTGAGCTGTCATTATGCTACTGCACTCTAGCCTGGGTGACAAAGTGACACCTTGTCTCTAATTGAAAAAAACAAAAATGTCTTTCTGATGGCTCAAAATCACATCTACCAAATTTACCCTGCTCTTTCATCCTTGCTTCTCTACAGTTGAATAGGCCACAGAAGACCTATCTATTTGTGAAGTGAAATCAAACGAGATAACAAATTGAATACGAACAAAATTTGGAAAAATACTTTCGGTATTTATTAAAATGTCATTATGTCTAAATGCAAAATACCTATAAGATAAGAAAATAGACAAAAACTGAACATATTCCCAAGGTATAGGAACATGCTCCCCAAAGGAGCATAGAAGTAACAGTTACGGAAAGATGCAGGACTTCCTGGTTAACATGGTGAAACCCCGTCTCTACTAAAAATACAAAAAATTAGCTGGGCATGGTGGTGCGTGCTTGTAATCCCAGCTACTCAGGAGGCTGAGGCAGGAGAATTGCCTGAACCCAGGAGGCGGAGGTTGCGGTGAGCCGAGATCGCGCCATTGCACTCCAGCCTGGGTAACAAGAGCGAAACTCCGTCTCAAAAAGAAGAAGAAGAAAAAAAAGTTAGGAGCCCCGCTCCCACGGCATCGCTGCTTAGTTGTCTCGCCCTGCTGACCCATGGCCCACCACCCACCGACCCACAGACCCACGAATCGGCCCAGCCCTCGTGCACCATGTCTGGGTCCTCCAGCGTCGCCACTATGAAGAAAGTGGTTCAACAGCTCTGGCTGGAGGCCGGGCTCAACCGCATAAAAGTTTCCCAGGCAGCTGCAGACGTGAAACAATTCTGTCTGCAGAATGCTCAACATGACCCTCTGCTAACTCGGGTATCTTCAAGTACAAATCCCTTCAGACCCCAGAAAGTCTGTTCCTTTTTTTTTTTTTTGAGACAAAGTCTTGCTCTGTCTCAAGGCTGGAGCGCAGTGGCGCAGTCTCGGCTCACTGCAACCTCCGCCTCCCGGGTTCAAGCGATTCTTCCACCTCAGCCTCCCAAGTAGCTGGCACTATAGGCGCGTGCCAAAAGCCCGCTAATTTTTGTATTTTTAGCAGAGACGGGGTATCACCATGTTGGCCAGGATGATCTCGATCTCTTGACCTCGTGATCCACCCGCCTCAGCCTCCCAAAATGCTGGGATTACAGGCGTGAGTCACTGCGCCTGGGGAGTCTGTTCCATTTTATAGTGAAATGAATCTTTTTTTGTTTTTAAGCCTACAGCAACCGGTGTTTCCAAACGGTCTCTCATCCAAGTACTAACCAGGCCCGCCCCTGCTTAGCTTCCAAGATCAGACAAGATCAGACGCGTTCAGGGCGGTATGGCTTAGACAAACATGAATCTTTCAAAGGTTTCCCAAACTACTTCTTACGATTCAGTGAACATTCAAGAAAGTTACATTTCAAACCTGTACAAAAGCTTATCCCTGTAACACATGTGTCATAATATACGAACTTCTACTTTTGTCAGTCCTTAACATCTACCTTTCTGAATTTTCATGAATTTCTATTTCACAAGGGTAATTGTTTTGTATACAATTACAACAGCATACAATAAAACTTAGTATGGAGAGAGAGAGAGAGAGAGAGAGAGAAAGAGAGAGACGGGGTCTCATTGTGTTGCCCAGGCTTGTCTTGAACTCCTGTGCAAGTGATCCACCTGCATCAGCCTCCCAAAGTGCTGGGATTACAGGCATAAGCCACCACGCTCAGCACACTTCTTGATCAAACATAAATTTCTGGAGCAGAGTGCAAGTATGTTTCTCTTGCCCTGAGCCATCTCCAGACAGCTATCTAGAGTCCTGCAAAGCTCTGGTCCTGCCACTAGTTTCCTTCCTTAGCTCCTCCTATTTCTTCAGATCTCAAGCTTCCTCTCTGGCTTCATCTTCCAATTTCAAGGTTCAGTGTCAGACACCTCTCCTTTGTAATGTGAATTACTTTACCAGGCGCAGTGGCTCGTGCTTATAATGCTAGTGCTTTGGGAGGCAGAGCTGGGAGGATCGCTTGAGTCCAAGGAGTTCAAGACCAGCTTGGGGCAACCGAGTGACCTCAGGGCCTTGTATCAGGGCTCGAATCCCTCCCACTCCACCAGACTCTATATACAAACCATTCCTCACTTCTACATCCTGGAAGATAATTCTACACTCGCCATCAGACCAGCATTTCTGGAAATGTTCCCAGACAGATATCAGTCACCTCTTTTTCTGACTCCTTAGGACAGAGTGGTCTCTGGGCTTACATATTTTTAGCAAGCATTTCGGTGACTTAGGACAAAACTAGTAAATAAATCAGGAATCATAATAAATAAATGATGGGTGGGCGTGGTGGCTCGCACCTGTAATCCAAGCACTTTGGAGGCCAAAACGGGTGGATCACCTGAGGTCGGGAGTTCAAGACCAGCCTGATCAACGTGGTGAAACTGTTTAAAAAAAATAAATAAAAATAAAAACAAATAAATGGCATGGGTTTTTAAATAACCTTATGCTGCAGGTGCGGTGGTTCACACCTGCAATCCCAGCACTTTGGAGGCTGAGGCAGGCAGAAGACTTGAAGTCAGGAGTTTGAGACCAGCCTGGCCAACATGGTGAAACTAAAAATACAAAAATACTAAAAATACAAAAATACTAAAAATAAAAAAATTAGCCTGTCTGGTGGCTAGTGCCTGTAATCCCAGGTACTCTGCGAGACTGGGGCAGGGGAATCACTTGAACCTGGGAGGCAGAGGTTGCAGTGAGCCGAGATCACTCCACTGCACTCCATCCTGTGTCACAGAGCAAGATTGAGTCTCAAAAAAATAAATAACTAAAAATAAAAACAAAATAACCAGAGGTTGCAGTGAGCTGAGATTGCCCCACCACACTCCAGCCTGAATCACAGAGACTGCGTCTCAAAAAAATAAATAAAAATAAAAACGTAAAATAACCTGATGATGAGTTTGGATTCCTTGTGAGGGCAAGCTGCCTCCAGGCACAGAGCAGATGCTCAAGAGGCCACAGGTTTCACTCCAGTCTCTGGCACCCACAGAGTCTCACCTCCCGGCTTACCTGGAGCAGGGGGAACTCTGCGGCAGTCCTTTATTCGTGCAAGGGGCCACACACTAGACACTAACTAAACACACCTGGAACGTGCAGCAGTGAGGACTCCACCCAGCTAAGACCTGGAAGTGGGAGAGATAGGGGCAAGAGAAGGTGGGGGAGGCTTCCGGCCTGTAAGCAGTTAAGTGTCCTTGGCCTTGATCCAAGAACTTTGGAATCTTTTTTGTAATAAGTGAATAGGACAAGTTTGCATTTGCTCATGCAAATAACCAGAGCCCGCCTTATTTAGATGAGTAAAAAGGAACAGAGAAGTTGAGAAAGACTAGAGATTTCAACCCAGAGCCTGCAATTGGGTTACCTGCTGAAAGATATTCCTTATAGAAGATTAACAGTGAGGGTGTCGGCCGGGCTTGGTGGCTCATGCCTGTAATCCTGGCACTCTGGAAGGCAGAGGCGGATGGATCAATTGAGTTCAGGAGTTTGAGACCAGCCTGGGCAACATGGTGAAACCTCGTCTCTACAAAAAATACAAAAATTATCCATGGGTGGTGGGGCAGATACCTGTAGTCCCAGCTACTTTTGGGGCCTGAGGTGGAAAAATCACTTGAGTCCGGGAGGTTGAGGCTGCAGTGAGCTGAGATCATTCCACTGCAATCCAGCCTGAGAGACAGAGTTGAGACCTTGTCTCGAAAAACTGTGAGGCTGCCTGTATAAAACATTGCCTGGCTCACAGATGCACCCTGATTTTACAAAAAAATGTTTGCAAAATAATCGAAGTCATTTTTTTTTCTTTTTTCAGAGGGAGTCTGGCTCTTGCCCACACTGGAGTGCAGTGGCAGGATCCTGGCTCACTGCAACCTCTGCCTCCCAGGTTCAAGCCATTCTCCTGCCTCAGCCTCCAAAGTACCTGGGATTACAGGTTTTTTTTTTTTTTTTTGAGAGGGAGTTTCACTCTTGTTACCCAGGCTGGAGTACAATGGTGCAATCTCGGCTCACCGCAACCTCCGCCTCCTGGGTTCAGGCAATTCTCCTGCCTCAGCCTCCTGAGTAGCTGGGATTACAGGCATGCACCACCACGCCCAGCCAACTTTTTTGTATTTTTAGTAGAGACTGGGTTTCACCATGTTGATCAGTATGGTCTCGATCTCCTGATCTCGAGTGATCCACCTATCTCAGCCTGCCAAAGTTCTAGGATTACGGGTGTGAGCCACTGAGCCCTGCCCGAAGTAATTTTTGTCTGCTATAAATAAAAAATAATTCTAGGCCGGGCGCGGTGGCTCACGCCTGTAATCCCAGCACTTTGGGAGCCCAGGGCAGGCAGATCACAAGGTCAAGAGATTGAGACCATCCTGGCCAACATGGTGAAACCCCGTCTCTACTAAAAATACAAAAATATTAGCTGGGCATCGTGATGCGCATGCCTGTAGTCCCGGCTACTCGGGAGGCTGAGGCAGGAAAATTGCTTGAACCCCGGAGGTGGAGGTTTCAGTGAGCCGAGGTTGTGCCACTGCACTCCAACCTGGCGCCTGGTAACGGAGTGAGACTCTGTCTCAAAAAAAAAAAAAAAAAAAGGTAATTCTATTTTGCGGAAGTGGGACAGATTCTTTCTAGTCACTCAGGCTGGAGTGCAGTGGAATGATGACAGTTCACTGCACCCTTGACCTCCTAGGCTCAAGTGATCCTCCCTCCTCAGCCTTTGGAGTAGCTGGGACTACAGGCATATATAGGGGGAAAAAAAGCAATTCTTAAGTGATTTTTAGCTGGGCACGTTGGTTCAGGCCTTTTATCCCAGTGCTTTGGGAAACCGAGGTGGGAGGATCACTTGAGCCCAGAAGTTAGAGGCTGCAGCAAACTGTGATCATACCACTGCATTCCAGCCTGGGTGACAGAGTGAGACCCCAGCTCTAAAACAAACTAAAGTGAGTTTTAAATGGAAATATAGACAATAACACCGGGTAATGGCTGCATGGAGATTCCTTATTTATACTCTCTACTTTGTAGAAGTTTTAAAATGTTTGTAATAATATTCTTAAACAATTTAACTGAGAAACAAAAAGGTTTTGTAGGTAAAAACATTGCATGTGTTCAATATATATATTAAACATACCAATTTATGGCTGGGTGCTCTGGCTCACACCTGTAATCCCAGTAATTTGGGCAGCCTACGCAGGCAGATCACTTGAGGTCAGGAGTTTGAGACAAGCCTGGGCAACATGGTGAAACCCCATCTCTATGAAAAATACAAAAAATTAGCTGGGCATGGCAGCGGGTACCTGTAATCCCAGCTATTCGGGAGGCTGAGGCAGCGAGAATTGCTTGTACCCAGAAGGCTGAGGTTGCCGTGAGCAGAGATGACGCTGCTGCACACCAGCCTGGACAGGAGTGAGACTCTGTCTCAAAAACAAAACAAAAACAGGGATCTTGATTTCTCAACTCTGAAGCCAGAAAACTGCCCCTCTCCCAGTCTTCTCCACCTCAATCAATGGAACCTCTGTTCACCAAGTATTTGAAGCAGAAAATTAAAAAAAAAATCTGTTTCCCTTATTCTTTTGCTCACTACCAAGCCACAATCAAGTCCTGGTGTCCTGCCCCACACTGTGTCCTGGGCTCTGACACTCACCCCTCAGGGACACCTGGGAACCCTCCCCTGGTTGTCTGACGCTGACTGTCCTCCCTCATTCCCCACCCCTCAGAATCCAGTGTTGCCCCCTGGGATGCTACTTTGGGGACTGTGTTTGGCTTCATGTGTGTCCTGTGAAGGCAGAAGACAGACTGACAACACTGGCCATGGACAGATCATCAGGAAGCCATGAGTTGGAAGGGACCAGCAGAGAAGGATTCA